GTTAAAAAGTTAAGAGTCTAAAATGTAACTAAGTTAAGTTAAAATTATTTAACTTTTCAACTTTTTAACTTAACTTTTAGCTTTTTAACTTGGCACTAACCAACCCTGATTATTTGTAATATGACATCATTCTATTAGAATTATTTTGTATCAAAAATATATAACTAACATCTTAACAATGATATAGACATTTCTTTGTACGCATTTTATTATAATGTACATTATTTTTCAATTCATACAGTGAGAAAAAAATGCTGTTGATTCAATTAAAGTCTATATTACGGGCTGTCACTAACATAAGTGATTAATTCATATATATTTTTCATATATATTTTTCATATATATTTTTATTGACATAAAGGTCTCGATTGAAATAATAATTTATGCCTTTATGTCAATAAAAATATACATGAATTAATCACTTATGTTAGTGACAGCCTGTAATATAGACTTTAATTGAATGAACAGCATTTTTTCTCAGTGTAGTTTATATTGTCTGTTATGAACGTCAAATACTTCTAAAATCTTATTACGAATGAATATATGGTAATTAAATTAATCTATGTTAAAAATTATTTTATCGCAAGATGAGCAATTATTAATTTTATGTTATCTCCCTCAAATAACAATAATTGATACTTGAAAATATATAATAAGTTCGAACTTATTGCGAATGGAATTTCATGAATTTCTAAGTTGTAACATTACAGATGTAAATTATCTATTTACAAATTTTATTTTTATAAAATGAAATGTTAGTGTGTGACGAGGTACCTATGACCTTCGATGCATTATGTATGTAAGGCAGGTACAATCTCTCTAAGATCTGTTTGTTACGTTACTCGACGAGCTAGCTTCAATAGTATTTGAAAGAGATGGAGCCACAACCTCATCATCATTGTAATCCTGTTGCTCGGTTGCATGCTTAGACCAGGATGAAAACTGAACCAATCTGTAAAAAAATAATTATTTTTTAAAATTGGATTATTCGAATGTAATTAAGAAAAGCGACACAGTTCTTTAATATATTTTGTACTCGAGAGAAAAAATGACATACGAAAAAATATCCACGAAAATCATAATTTACTTACAGAATTATTAAAAGCACGGCAATCTGTGTGGCGAATGTCAGCCAATAAAAAGAGTTCGGTGCTGTCTTTATTGTAGCGTTATAAAGTTGGGAATATAAAATGCCACTAAATAGCGGAACTGCATTATCACATACGGAAAGCATCGCGAACACTTTCCCTAAAAAATCAGAACGACTTAATTATCCTTCTTTTTTTTCTATAAAATCTTTAAAGTAAAATCTAACTCTAAAGAGTAAAATCTCACTCTTAAAAATTGACAATTGAGCAACTCTTTTTTAACACTAGCTCAGTTGTCAGTCTTTAAAATTGAATTCCATTCCAAAGATTTTAGAAATTTGTTACTAATGAAAAAGAAAAATCAGTAGTGTAGCACGAAATTGAAACTGGTATTAAATGTGTGTGAGATCCAATTTGACATGAAAATAATATCCCTTATTCATGAAAATTCAGATTCTACTATAAAGTATGTACATATTTTTTATGTTTATAGCATCAACAGTATTGATCTAGCGGGATTAAATTGGTTTTAATCTACGCATAGAGTCAAAAAGTAAGTGCAATAATTAACACTGTCCAATATTATTTTTGAACACAGATATGCAGTTATTTTCGATGTATTTTTGTCTGCTGAATATAAATCCGTTGGCCAAATTTGGCTGTCATGTCACAATTATAAGAAAAATGACATTAAGGGGAAGTAAAAAACGATAATTTTGACGTTAGCAAATTGTTTTTTTTTTTAATTTTGTTAGTGCCATACAAAAGTATTAACTTAGCTGTAGGGGTGCCTCTACATAATTAGCAAATTGCAAAACGTAGTTCGCAAATGCTGACTCAGAAGACGATTACCGCACGCAAGATACACACAAATGAAAACCAATCGCACACAATGAAAAAAACAAATGCAAATTTTTATTCTGCGTTTGTGTTTGCGAGCTACATTTTGCGGTTTGCAAATTATAATATGTATAGGTTTTGTTTTGGTATGATTTTATTTTCGAGATATAGCAATTTTAAAATAGTTCTTTTTCCATGATGTAATAAATAGAAAAGGTGCTTTATTCCATTTTAATATTGCATTATGTGGAAAATAAATGCTTTAGTACTTGCATAATATAATAGGATTACACTAATAAAATAGCAATGAAGCTGATAAAATACAATATTGCAGGAAGATTATAATCTTTAATCGCACATAATGAAAATTATAATCTTTTCTGCCGTATTGTATTTTGCCAGTTTTATATTGTTTTTTTATTTAATATCCGAGTATATTATGTAATTACTGAAGTAGGTACTTTTTACATAATGCAGTATTAAAATGGAACAAAATACTTTTTCCATATAATAATATATATAATATTATATAAGAAAAAAATTTTTTTTTCTTATTTAAGAAATATTCTTATTTGAGAATTTTCTTATTTGAGAAATATTAAAAAATTGCTATATCTTAAAAACAAAAAATTATACCGAAACAAAATGCACTTTAAAGCTAAAAGTTGATAGTGTGCTATTAACAAAATTAAAAAAAAATTTGCTGCTGAAACTACAACGTCATGAAGATCTTCAAAATTATCATATTTCTTGTCTCTTTGAAGTCATTTTTTTAATAATTGTGACGTGATAGTCAACGGATTTACGTAAGTAAAAACACGTCGGGAATTGCTGTTCACATTTGCATTACGAAAAAAAATCATATTTTCGGACGTGTTACTATCACGCACCTCGTTCCTCTACAGGTACAAGTTTCGAGGTCATAGATCTGAGTACTGGAGCTACTATTGGTCCTAATGCAGCGACAGTAGCACCTGCAAAATAATTATTATAAAATAACTTTTAATTACTTTATTACTTGAATATAAAAGAATGTGTATAATATTCTTATTAAAAAGTTTGAATGATAATGACACTATGTATCTATAATATTTATTGTCAGAAATAATTTGATTGATATAGATATAATCGAAAAAGATCGTTTATACTTACCCACATAAAATAATTCCGGCCGGTTCGCTAAAACAAATACTATTCTTCCAGCTGCGTGCGCTATTGCTCCAACCATTACGATGAAAGTGTCCTTCATTCTTATTAATTTACTCATGATAGGCACTCCAATGAGCATTGCTGTGGGAACAAACTTCTTTTAAGTATTTCGTACTTTATGTTTCTAATAGCATTCAAAGTATTTATGAGGATAATTATACAATTAAAATATTTTTATGAAGATAAGGATATTATTTATTTTTATAAACTATATGGTGCAGTATTAAGATCTGAATTTATTAATTTATTTAAAACGTTTATATAGTTATAAAAAAAATGCTAAAGTCAAAAAATTTGAATATCTAAAAATAAATTTTCAAATCTAATTACGACATAATAAAAATAATTTATCTTATGCATTTTCTTACACAAAAAAATTGAACCTTTTACAAGATCGATTTTAATTTCGCAATTGGGTCATAATTTTTCTATTATAGAAAAATGCTAAATAATTATCGTTAGTAATTAAGATTATGAATTAGCTGAAAGTGAAAGTTTTTGCGATTTTGAGAAGAAATTTCTTTTCCACTTCGCTAAACTCATTGTGAATTGATATTGTCGAGATTTGCGAAATGTCAATGTGACTACTAATTTGAATCAAGTCTGTATTAAACTGACCTAATACGAAAAGGGTCGATTGGAACGTTTTAAAGTTGCTAAAATCCGTCACATTCCAGTTAAAGATTAGCGAGGTATACATCTGACTCTTGACTTTTTCATCTCTCTGGAATGTATATAGATACATCGCCAGCAGGAGCAACCACAGGTGTAATTTACCATGATTGAGTCTCGATTTCAACAATGTTCGTATTGTCGTGGCGACATGTCGCATGTCGAAGAAGTCTAGCAGCCAATTATTGCCCAAAAGCGGTTGCTGCCGTGGTGACGTTTGCCATTTGAGCCACACAAGCGAATATATAATCGCTATTAAAAGCAAAGTCGCGTTTACAGCAAACATAATCGCGTAGGACATGTTGACAAAATGTGTAAACACGTACGATCCAAGTGCAACTCCTACGAACGAAAAGAAACGTGATTAGTTATTTAAACGTTATAGAATTGCAAAGACTTTTATATAATCGTGGATATATTCGTAAAATTAAAGTAGTAAAATAATGTTATCAACGACAATCATCCATTAATTTTAACGGATAAAATTATTTATAGAAAAAAAGAAATTTTATGATAAATATTGAATATTTATTATACAATTTTTTAATAAAATTTATTATATAATTTCGTTTTATAATAATTAAATTTTACAATAAATACTCAGTATTTATTATAAAATATCTTTTTTTCTGTAAATGATTTTTGAGTCGTTAAAATTATTGGATTATCGATGACAACGTTGTATTTATTTCAACGATTCAAAAGTTTAAAAGATGTCTTAAAAATTTATAATTTTTATTTATATATATATAAATTAAAGTTCTTTAATGATAATTATTCACATAATTTATATCTTTGGATAAAATTATTTTAAGAGTGCTTGTCCCTACCTGTAGGCATAGTACTGAGATAAACGACGTCCAAGATCGTGATTCTCATGGTTCTCTGTTGCACGGAGCTTATGTCCGATATATACGTGAAACAGCTGCCGAAGATCGCGACATCGCTGCCCAGAATGCTCATCGGCAGAGTCGCCGTGTACACCACCATGTTCAAATTCCAAGTGTCTATCATGGAATTGATCACGATCATGAAGGAGTAAATAAATTTGCCCGTTAGACCAAGAATGATCGGCAATTTACGTCCACGCCGATCACTCCAGTTGCCATAGAACATCGCCAAGATTATAGGCACCACGTGTCCGGCAATGTCGTTCCATTGATGGAATTCTGAGACAGTCATCTGCAAGATCGATCTTTCACATATCTTTTCTTAATGAAACGTAATTGAAGAATGAAAATCAATTATTGTTTCAGCATTAAAAATGCTACCCTAAATTGCGATAAAAAGATAGCTGAAATATCATGTGTTCATAAAAAAAACTGCCTAAACTCTTTTATTTAATCTTCCGTTTAATATATAAGTTTTCGTGAAATAAAATAAGTTCGGAGATGTTTGAGTATATTCTCTTACGTGCTGCATGATACGTATTTTCGTTGTGTGGGTATTTCCTGCTAATATTTAGCTTGACAACTACGTTTGTTTTGATAACATCCCAATCATATTTTTACTGATTATCTATACGTCAATAATTTCTTATATTGTAGTTGCAAATGAGATTCGTACAAGTATTATAAAGTCCTATTGTCAGCTGAAGATTTGCATTTGATAAGCAAGCACTTGTTCTAAATAATCTCAAGCTATTAAACGCTTCAATAGTTTAATATAATGCGCGTGTTTTTCCCCTTTTATGTTTCTTCTCTTTTATTTTAAATATGGTACATAATGTTTTACCTGTACTTTGGTCTTTATTTCTTTATTATCATCATCACTTAAGTGCCTACAAATTTCTTCAGAGCAACCATGATCCACTCGACACGCTTTATATCTAAACAAGTCTTGCTCTACGACCGATGTGAACATAAATGCCATCATGTAGAGCCACATAGTCGGCTCTACTGATACATGTTTTATCCACCCGAAATATTTTTTATACATCCTGTTTGTATGGGAAGGTTCTATCCGTGATGTCGCCTAGAAATTGCAAAATAAATATTGAAACATATAATTCGAGAATAATTTATTAGCAATGTATTTAAATTGTTAAAATTATAAAACTTTTTAGGGTATATAGATAAATAGCAGAAACTATTTCTGCATTTAACCAATTAATGCCCAATTTATTTTTTTATAATTTTTTTGGGGGAAACATGTTATTTTCTGACTATAGAAATAATTTAAAAAAACAATATGTATCTCTGAGAAGTAGACTACAATTGAAAGAGAGGTTTGTTTGCACTAATAAGAGATAAACAAATCCCTTATTCAACATTCAACGTGCTAAAACATGACTGTCCTCAAATGAGGATAGTGGACACTAATAGGTTAAACTAGTAAATAAATTTAAAAATATGATCGACACTTTTTCAAATTTACGCTAACAAAAACAAGAGAGTTATAAAATTGTAATTATAATTACAATTGCATGGCTAATTTTAATTAATTTAATTAATCATTTATATATAATATCTATAAATTCTTTTCTATTACACACAATCTCATTCTCTATTACACATATTGAAACGCGTTCAATATCTCATATCATGCAGCCTATATAAAATATCGATCTTTTGTAATGTAGTCACTGTTTCAATATCTCTTGTGTTATCTATATAATTTTGATCTTTCGAACTGTTTCCAGTGTCACATCTAAGAAGGAAATACAAATAGCGCTCTTAATTTTAAATTCATGACACAGAAATAGATATAATATTCGAGATATTCACTAACGTTAACTATTATTGTTTAATCCTTAGATATTTTTGCACAACTCTTTACATTTTTAGGCTTTATGATTTTCTTTACAATTATTTTATTCTTTCTTTAAATTAATTATAAAAGAAAACAGACAGAATTACAATGTATATATATATTGATAACACTAATAATGTAAAAATATATTTTTTCAAAAATTCTGAATATATGTGTTATAAAACAATTATAAAATACTAAAATTTTTATAAGAGATCCGATAGATTTTATATAACACTAGAATATTTAAAAATTGACTTGGCGCGTCATTGTGGCTGGGTTATAATGACCCGAGAGATTTTTAAACATCTGTATTTTCTTACATACTTCGTAGATTTTAACTAACCGCCCTGTAGCTGGAGCTAAAACTTTCTAAAACCGTTAATAAATCAAACTAATCAAGACTCCTTACAAATCAAGGAATTGGAAAGAATAAGGGCGCTAGGAGTCGGGCGCAAAGAAGACGTGCCGGGTTAATTATACCATGCAAATGTGACGACTTGAAAAATGCTTTTTACTTATCTAATAATTTTAAAAAAGATTAATATAATTTCGTAAATAACTATGTCTCTGACAAAAACATCACAAGAATATTTAAGAGCTAAAAATTTAAGTCTCCAGCTTGACGCACAATTAATTATATTGCATTATAAATTATAAGAAAAAATTATAAACAATTTAATATAATTTTAATATTTTAATAAATTTAATAATTAGTAATTTAATGAAATTAAATTTTTAAAGAGAAATATGTAAATATTTTAATTATTAAGATTATATATGAAATTTACACATAACACAGAATGCGCGCGCGCGCGTTTATATTAAATATAATAAATTATACAATACATAAACATAAAGAAATATTTTTACTAAAATGAAGATAGTAAGGAATTAAGTTTTTTGTCTTTATCGTAGAAATGTTTCTAGAAAAAGGCAGAATTTTTGATCAAACAATATTTTTATAATCTTAATCATAATGTCATATAATAATAGTTACCTCATTGGTTTTGTTATTGTTGTTAGTCACTATCGGTTTCTCCATTCTTTTTTTTTTAATTAAAGAACTTTAATGCAAATGAATGAATTTCTTTATACGTCTGAATTCTCTTACGTATACATTGTTCTTGGATAGTCCGCTACTTTTGCTGCAAGTATGCACAGGTTTTCGAAACTCGCTGAGCTAGTTCTTAATTCATGCTGACAGGCTATTTTGTTTATGTTAGCACACTGAGAAAAAAGAATTGCTGTTTCTAAAAAATATTAGTTGATTCAATTAAATGTAGCGGTCACGAACTATCAAGCAAATATTTATTAATTCAACTAAATATTTGTTAATTCAAACAAATAATATGTTTTAAATTACAAGATTTGTTAATCTAAATATATAAATATTTGAACTCTAAATAATCATTACGAACTAAACGCATTTAGTTAAGTTAACAACTTTTCTTTCTCAGTGCATTAGGTCTAGTTATCTATTATTTTTGGTTACAAAATTTAAGAATGTTAAAAAAACATCATCTGAAAATTTCATATCTTTTTATGGTTGTTTGGATAATAATTTTGCAATGCATACATTCTTACGTTCTGTTTTGCGATAGTAAAAAATTACTAATTAAACTAAATATACTTTTAGATTTTATTATTAGAAGTTTGCAGTATCACAAATTCGTTTAAGATCAAAAAGTAGGTTTTGTTTCAATACAAATATTCGAGACATGATGAGCTGGGAAATGATAAGTTTAAAACCAAAAACACATAGAAAAACATAAGGTAATAAAACGTAAGCAGTAAGCGAATCAGCTAATCACAGTAGAAGATATTATATAAGGTAATAATCTTACATTCTCTCCTATGATTGACCAATTTGCTTACGTCTTTACTATCTTATGTTTTTATACGTGCCATATATAGGCTTAAGGGCCACCGTACACATTTTTTCTAACAGTAACCATTAGACGTACCGTAAGAATTAGCTAATCAGAGAAAATTAGTTGAAAATTTTTGATAATTCTTGACTGATTGGCTAATTCTTACGGTATGTCTTACGGTTACTGTTACGGAAAATGTGTGCGACAACTCTTTTTTCAAATTTTTTTACGTTGTTATTTTAAAATTTTGTACGTTGTTTTTTACTTATTATTATTACGAGTTCTAATTATTTTTCATTTCCGTTTCTGTATTCGAACAGATTAATTTGTAGTGTGTATGTGTGTGTGTGTATGTTACACAAGAGTAATCGTATCAAGTGGATATAATGAGTAAGCAAAATGCAGTAAGATATTTTCGTCACACTTACGATAATAGGATGATGCAACTTGGATGTTAAAAGTTCGATGTCTTGTATTACAGAATCGTTACTGAGATATATTGCAAAGAGTGATTTAATCGCTCCGATTTATTCAATAATATATAATTCAAAATTATTTATCATCTATCATTGCCTGAAAATGGTAAATTGAACACTATTCAATCGCTGTTGCAAATTCACACTTAAACGTTATTCGAAATTACGTTTTTAATTTCTTTATTACCGCTTTAACAATAGTATAGATATAAAAGTATATGATAATTATTAATTGCAATTAAAAAAATTTTTTTAAATTATTTTAAGCGATTAAAATCAATAAAGTCGATAGAATATGTCGATAACAAGCCACTTATTTATTTCTTATCTTTGACTTTTAAACACGTTTAAATGTAAATTGGAATTTGAATGTGTTTAAGAAAATAGTAGTTAGTTTATTATTAAATATGCAGTTCTTATTGTTTCAAATAACGAATAAAAAATTAACGCGAAAATATTAACGTGAAGGTATTAATATTATTGTCTCTCTCGAGTTATGTAAAAAAATTTATATCTACATATTTAGTTAATCTAACACGAATTATTTAAATAAAATAAATTCAGTGTTTTTCGAATAATTAGAATTTAGAACATTAGAAGTGGAATTTAATTTTGTTTTAAATATAAAATAATTGTATTTTTACATCAGATTCAAATTATTTTATACAAAGAGTTAAATTTTTTTAGATGAAACGAAATACGTTATTGATTCGAAGTAGCTGCACTACTACTATTCTTTTTCACAATCAATTTACTGTTTTCTTTCGTGGAGGACCATTTATTAGTAAACTGGACCATTTATTAATAAACCAGTGATATTTGAGATTGCGATAACTCTTCAAATGGCGTTTTATCCGCCCACGTGGTCCGCTCCAACAACAGTGTAACGTCTTGCCACGTGAGTAACATATGTACATACACGCCACTGTAGAACTGAAGTCAGTTATGCGTGTCGTCCGCTTGCTTAGACCATCCAATTCACGTCTTCCATTCACTGACTCGAGTCGGAGCATCTTATCGATGATTTTATGTAATCGGACTGTCGGACGAACAACGTTCAACGCGAACATTGCGTCGTGACGTATCACGACGTATGCCTTGCGTATCTTTTTGTGTCAACTGATGTCCAAAAATGCATTCGTGAGCGAGCACATAATGACACTTGTTTCAAGTATTCACTGCGATAGTCTATCGCCGACTGCAGTAACCTTTGTCAGGTAACCAGGTTATCCTCTCGACAAAAACGTGTTTGGCGACATCTTGTGGAATAGAAGATGCGAGGAAATTAATTAAAAAAAAATTTTCTGGCGATCGATCGTAGATGGTTTCAAGAATGATTTTTATCTTTGGTGACCTTATTCAACGATTTTATTTATTATTTCAACTTGGAATAGATATTTCTCTCTTGAAACATTAGTTTGTGGTAGAATGTGCGTACGGTTGGTAACGTGAGATATTGATCGCTTTAGTGACCTCAGTTCCTGTGGGAGATTTGAAAGAATCGAGCATATCGTTAATATAACGTCGCTGTTATTGAGCGTACGTTATAGATTTTGTATTTTACAAAATTTTGTGAAATTTGATATATTTTTTTCTAATTCTTCTGATAAATATTTTAATAAGTTAATCAGGTTTTTAAAAAGCTAAATATAAAGAATGACTATAAATCATGTTTTAAAACTTCTAAACGTGTATTTTATTTATTTATTTTATTAAATAGTTATTGATTTTACATTAAAAAATTTTTTTTCCTTAATAAAATTCAATATTTTAATAAATTGTTTAATAAAGTAATACTGACTTATTTTATTAAATAATTGAAAGTCTACGTTTATCAACATTAGGAAAGTTATATATTGCTGGGCTATTCGACAATTCCTATATTAAATTGCCGTTCTTAAGAAGAATACAGTGAAACCGTGAGAATACAGGTCAGGTAAGAAAACCTCTTTTCTTGCTGAGTAGGTTAACTGGAAGTACTAAACTAGTTTGAGATATATTTTGAAGACATCATCAATACTTAGAAACGTGCTCTCTCAATCCAATTTTTACGAGAACAAAATAAAATTTATTTGATTGGATTTTTTATTTCATTAAAAGAAATTTTCTTAGTTAAATCAAAAATAAAAATATATGATACAAAAATATATTAAATAAATATAAACCATAAAATTATATAAATCTTGATCACAAATTAATCAACTATTTGTATTTATAAGTACATAAAGATAATAGAAGATTATATATCTGAGATATATAAGATCAATCATGAATTATATTTTCCGAATGTTTTATTATTTTGAATAAATAATTTTATCGTAGAAAGTCACAATGGAAGAAGGAAAAATAATAGACACTTTAATTTTGTTAAAAATTTATTTTGTATCGTCAGTGTTAATTACGGCGCGCAATTATGGCTATAATATATGATATATTGATGTGTCTTGTCAATAAACTTTAGGCCATCAAAGTTACATAAACATTTTTTTCGAAGTGATAATAAATAATACATTTTTCGTCCTATCTCACGTACTTTCGATTTCAGGTATTTCAGCTAGTAACCATCAATTCTTATCGTTACATATTGACTTTATGATCAACGCAACATTTTATCGACATTTTATCGACATCGTAGAAGTTCCCATGCTTTCCCATCGTAGGCAAATTGTAGGGAAATCTGAAAGGGAAACATTTTCCGTCGAAAAAAAGCAATCGACTCTTATTCCAATATCAATCAATACATGCCGATTCTTGTGAAATACTTTCTAATACCCTTTACAACATCTCTTAACACATTATCAACGAGATATTTTTCCATTTGACGCATGCTATATCTTAACTAATCTAGCCTTCGCTTATTTAACATTCGAGTTATTAAAAACATTTGAAAAATAAGTTACTTCTCTGTTGTCGAACCTAGATAGGTTTTAAGGAATTTTTATAAGGATTCGGTTTTTCGAACCTGCAAAAATGAAGATGTACTACACCATAAATCTTGTTGACAGCTAATGGCTCCCGCCATTATTTGGACGATTAACTTTTGTGACGCTAATGGGATTCTAGGCTGTAAAACATATAGTTGTCAGACTTATGATGTAACAACTTACACGATTACTCCGATACGGTGCAATGCACAGTAATTTCGAGTAAAAGTTAACGTGAGTAATTTGTGCTCCAGTTTTACGTCGATAGTTTTGCGCGTGAAATTTATTTTAGAATGATTTAATATAAAGATATATTTATTGATCAATACACAACGATCAAATATAATTTATCATAAATATTTAAGAATGTTAATATTTGAATATTTCGTATAATTTCAATTTTGTTTTGATCAAAGCATAAATATCTGTTTGTTTAAATAAATTCCATATTAATGGAATGATTCTTTATATAAGTTTATTATACATTTATTTTACTTCTCCAAAATAATTATTCAAACATTTATCAAATAAATTTTTGGATAAGAGGAAAATGTTTATTGATGGAAAAGGAAAATTATCGATTTTGAGCATAAATAATCCGATGCTCATTAATTAATACGATTCGCTCGAGATCTCTTTGCTTCAACAATTGACTAGCTTTGTCGATCAACATTTAATATTAACTGGACCTGCCAGCACTATTGAAATTCTCGCGAAAGCATAGATTCAACTTATACCTTATATCTGCTTATAGAATTATCGTATTAATCGACGGTCATTACAGTCGAGCGTTATGTTCACTGCAGCACACATAATAATTGGACTGCGTTTAATCCAATTCAACGTGATTCGATACATTATTTTTCACACATGACATATTCAACGAATTAGTTAAATGATGTGCTCGTTAAAGACGACATTTAATCACTCGATCAAGCTAATTGATTGGACTTGTCAAAATATCTTTTATCGTGCTCTATTATTTTCTCTATAACAAATATAGCTCTTTTTTTTTTATCGTTCGGGAAGGATTGCCTAGGCGCAAAGAAAGTCGATATGTATATTCTGATCAAGTAAATCGAGAGCTCGTGCCGCGCCAGTAGCTGCACATCGACGTAATTAACATCTATGTATACACTTTGGCCAAGTTTGTACATATGCACACAAGCGCCCCATATACATACATACATACATATTTACATGCTACGAATAAATCTAATCTACAAGACATTGAATACTGCAGAACGTCGACGTTTTCATTGAACGTCGTAACACTCGGACGATCGATCGTTTCTACACAAACGTGTACTCTAAAGTCGAAGATAGCAGTGTAATAATTTGATAGTTTCGATATCAAGGAATCATATTCAGGGAATCTGGTTTTCGACAGCATGAGATAAACACAACAAGAAACAATAGACACAATAAGGAAGGATTCTTGAATTATTGCATTCCCATTGCGAATAAACTCTGAAATCATTTTCTGAATATCTAAAGCATTGAAATGTTGATTCAGTAAAATTCCATTCATTCTGTTGAAATTTCATAAAGTATTTATCTTATTTTCATCTCTCTTGGTGTTTGCAGTTGCACGAGCTGTTTTGTCGCGTTTGTTAGTCGAATCCGCATTGGGGTTTCTCTTTGCTCTTTTTAGAGGAAGAAAGAAAATAGCTCGTTTCCTGCAGTTTTCCTTTTTGATCAATTGCATTATATTGAGGTTTTTATTTCTGTATTTTGAATACCAAATTTCTTATTTTACATTGCACCGCGATATTTCTATATAAAACTAGGCTGGTTGTAACTAATTAAATTTACCGGTTAAATAATTAAGCGACGATTTTAAGTGCAGTTCTTTTTACAAGGCAGTAATTGAATTAAATAGAATATCTTATTTGAAAGTCCTTTTAAAGGTTGTTAGAGTTGCTAGGATCGATGAGAAAAAAAATATTACTCGTTGGTTAGTCGACGCCACGGTAACATGATGCAATTTCATTAACTTTCTGTCGGAAAGTTGGCTAGTGTAGAAAATCGTTCGTCCGACGTTTACAGTTCTCTCCTACATCCGCCCAGAGTTTACTTTTGTAATTATATGAATTTACTTTCACGCTAGAGGTCTTTCAAAATTCTGAAATCAAAGTAGAATTGTAGCTCTGCGAATGGGCAAAGAACGGGCACCATTAAGCTCATATCTAATAGAAAAAGATCTTTAT